AACTAATGAGGATTCTATGTGATGATTATTAAATTGTTAAAGATTATCAACAAGTTTTATAAGTAAGTTTATATATAATAAAAACAAATGTGTGTACAAATATTTTATATAATGTATTTAAAAAATTACAAGGACTTTTTGGCTAAAACTTATCTGTTATTCTTGTTTAAAAATCATTTACAAACTATATTTGTATCCACTACAATAAACCTTGTCGCATCAAGTCTCATACGGTTTTCCTGTTCACAACATTTCCAAGTGAGTCCTCAAATTCATCTTGTCCGGGTGCCATCTTTCACCTTGTTTTTGATTTTTCAGTTTCTCCCACAGTGCCAGAGCGTCTTCATTTGGGTCACATTGGCAAAATGGGCAGTGTTGGGGATTCCTAGACAACGCATGCCGTGGGCGTGACGCCATTCTGCAAAGTGCCTTTGGAAAGCTTTGGGACCTAGAAAAAATTAGCAGGTAAAGTACAGAATGTATTGAAAAATATGTTTGGAATTTACGAACCTTTGTAAGTAAAGTTTCCACATATTTCACAATTATAGCTTATATTCAAGCCGTGCAGTTGTACAACCAGTATGGAATCGGTTTGCCGTCCCATCCAAGCGGTAGGTTTTGGATTTGCGGTACATCATCAGTATCATCTTCATCTGATTCACTAGCGCTCGCTCAACATCGCTATCATCACGCTCACCTCGGTACGTGCTGTTTTCTTTGTACATTCTCCTTGTAGCTAATCTTTGCTCGCTTAAAATATCAAAAATCTATATATTTGTGCCTCTAAAAATGCTATTTCTTTCTGTCGCTCATTATCTTTGGATTGCTCTTTTCCTTGTTTTTTTTTAGCTAATAAATTAGAATCAAAAGACTTTTTGCCTTTTGTTGAAAACAGTCTTGTGCACGTTCTTCTAACGTACCCCCGCATTTCAAACCTAAAGCTAACAGGGCTGATTTAATCTATCTAAACCTAAAGATGCTAATTCTTCCCAACTGGAAAACGCGGAAATCTAAATGTGCTCCGATATTTGTCAAAGCACTACCTGCTTCTTGGGCCAACCAGGAAAACTACCGTTCTCCCACTGTTCGATAAAGTCTTTATGAACCGAATTCAGTTCCTTTTCACTATCCAAAAAGCGGTTTTATCCTGGTGATGATATAATCATGCAAATAATGAGCAACATTTCTAAATATTGCGGTATCGGAATTTTTACGGTCTTTCGGGATTTCAAACAAGTGATCAAAAACTTGTTAAGTAGGATATGTAATCGATTTTGTCAATGTTTTTGAGGTTAATATACTTTTCATAACATTCGTGTAGATCTAAATAGGTTACCATAACCTTCTTCGTCGGTGAACTCAACAAGATTGTGTATTTTCTGAGTGTGTTATTACGCATGTTATCTAACTCTTGGAATTCTCACGCAAAGGGGGACACTTATCTCGTGTGGGTGCTTTCGGTAGAACTCTTTGATTGTGTTTTAGACGGTGTAGAATTCATTGAACTCGTTTGGGCCTGACAGGGCAGCGACTTCATCTTTTCGGGCGCCGTCTTTATCTTCGTATAATTCTTTCAGATTTTTTGTACTGTTCATGTGATGGTCTAATAACATTTTTAACGTGATCGGAATTTATATTGTCACGTACTGTTGTTTTCTTGAAAATCATTTCTTTAACCATTGCGTCGACTAAACGTTCGCGTTCTTCGTGGTAACGGCGCTGGTGCTCGAGTAACGTCTCCATGATAATTAGTAATTAGATAAATAATTGTTTATGTAAAGTAAATTAAATAAGCAACATGCTTTAATATATTTTTGGAAATATTTTGTCGGCTTATTTAATGACAGTAAAGTGTCAAACACAAAACTTAAGAGAACGATTGCCAACCTGTAGTGTTATTTAGGCTACAACTTCATGTCAGCGGCAAATACAAAAAACTAATATTCAAATTAAATGTTTTTACAAATAATAAAGCATACTCGATTTATTTTAGATATAAATTTTATATATATATATATATATATATATATATATATATATATTATCAATTTAAATATATCGTCCAACATATATCATTTATATTTTAAATTAAATTTCACTTACATGTTTACCATCCTGTCTCTTGCATCTCGTTACGTCCAGAACTGTCAAATACTTAACGAGAATTTGTGAGGTTAAATTTGCACTTTATGCAAAAATAATATGTATTATTTTAATTAAAAGGTGGTACTTAGAATATAATGGAAGAGTTTTTGTTAAATTTTCATAGACAAGATATTGAACCATATTGGAGCATGATGATGACACCGAATACTTCTCGCTGCACGTAAAGTACGTTAGTTTGAATTATAATAATAATTGAGATAAAGGACAGTCTTTGTATTTTGCTTTGATTTATGCATTCAATCATTTTTAATTGTTTTGACTAAATGCAGACTGACAAAACATTCTATATGAGTAGAAAAAGTATACGTATAGCTTTACAAATATCTACTTAAATACATTTAGATTTAAGTCAGATACAGAAAATGTCTGTGACTCTTAGTTTCAAACATTTAGCTTAAATATTTGCATGATTATATAACAAGAATAAAACCAGTTATTCCAGTTATATTGAAATCTTATTGATTAGTTGATTAATTACACAATCAGAAGTTTCTTAAGGAAATATGTCATGTACACCTTTATGTTGTATTTGAATACTGAAAACTTGTAAAAAATATAACTCTTGCAAACTTTATCAATCTAGTCATCCTTTAACTATTATCATTCCATTTGCAGCTTTACAGAATTGAACAACAACGCTCCAGTTTTAGCATCAAGTCTCCTCTCGCATCCTAGTCTCAGTTTAAAAATTATGGAACGAAGCTTTAATTGCAGCACAGCAAGAACTCTTAAATTCTATTCAAGGCGATAAATCTATATGATGAGTGTAAAATCAAAGTACGAGGTTAGATTTCAAAATTTATATGTTAATAATGAATGCGACAGCAAGTTTTTTCCTAGTGAAAAGGATTTTGAAAAGTTTATACAATTTAAAGGTATAATTATACATATTTATTATATATTATATATATATATATATATATATATATATAATATTTATATATATATATATATATTATTTTCTATATATTACATTTATTATATATTATATTATTTATTATTTATTATATTATCATTATATACTATATTTATTATATATTTTATATATTTTATTTCTAGGTACTGTGATAAGAATGACCCAAGCAAGGATGTTAGAGATTAAAAGAGATTACAAATGTCTTCGGTGTAAATATGTTGAGACAGTTCATGCAAATTATAGCAAAATGTATTTAATTGAGCCGATAACCAAGTGTAAAAATCCTGAAGGTCAATGTAAGTCTTCCAAAATTGTTAGTCTTGATGGAAAATAGACTTGGACCCGAGAACTGTATTGATTATCAGGAGTTGAAGATTCAGGTATATTAAATAAATGATTGCTAATGTTATTAACTTTCCGAAGGACTAATTGCCAGAAAATCGAAATTACTAATGTAGGGTTTAAAGTCATATCAAAATTAGAAAAAAAAAGTGTATTTATGGGGGCCAAAAATAGACCTTTTGTTGACAATTTCTTTAGAATTTGCAAAATAAGTGAAAATTTTGTGTAAATTAAATAGTAAATATAAAAAAAACATAGTAAAACCCGATTAACTGTTTTAGAAAGGTAATTCACTTTTATTAACTCCCCCTAGGGCAAGTTATGGTAATCGCAAAAAAATCGAAAATGAAAATTTTTGCATTTCTCGACGTTTCAAAGGTTTCTGAATATTTTTGCATACCTTAGAAAAAATGGATGTATGTGTGTGTGTGTGTGTGTGTGTGCGTGTGTGTATGTATGTGCGGATACAAATTTTCGTCGACGATTTCGGGAACACCGAACAACCGATTTTAATAATTCAAAAAACATTTTACTTGTATTGACAAGGTGAAGAACCGATCATACTTTCATAAAGGCAGGTCTAGCGGTTTCGGAGATCTAATGAAAAAAGTAAAAAAAAAATGCCATTTGGCGGTCAAAAATGATCATTAGACATATGCACATCAAATTAACAGATATTTTATAGAGATTTTAACAATAAGTATAATTTTGGTTTACATTCCTATGGGTTCCGTACCAATGTTTACGCGTTAGACGTCGACGCGGCGCTTACGCGCTTTGATATTTCGTCTTTATGCAGTTAAAGCAGTACGATTGCTTTGAAAAAAAGTTTAGATCTTGCAAAATATGTCAAAATAAAGAAAACATTTTTTTTCAAAAAAAAAAAAAAATTAAAAAAAAAAAATTTTCCTAAAAAAGTAATTATTTGTCTAATTGTTTGTCAAAAATCTTATTTTTTCGAAGTAAAATTTTTTCAAAAATGTTAATCGTTTTTAAAAAAAATAATAATTCTTGGTACGGGAAGTTCCAGCAATTTGCCTTAAGGCACGATGCCTTAATTGCCTTAAGACAGAATTCCACTTACAGCTAGTTTACATAATATTTCTCATAAATCTATTATTTTTAGGAGCAAATGGGTCACCAGGGTGTCGGTTCATTACCTGCAACAATATGGATCAGTTTAGAAGAAGATTTAGTTGATACTTGTCAGCCCGGAGATGATATCATTGTGTGGTAAGTTATATTCAAATAAAAACCTCATTTTTATATTAGTACATCTCATTTTATATTTCTTTTATTTATTTTCAGTGGCATTGTGCAAAGACGTTGGAAATACATCACTGTGAACAGACATTTAGATGTGTCGCTGTCTATAAGAGCAAATTCTGTCACAGTTTTTACTAAACAGGATAATGATGTGGAAACAGAAACTGCTACGGATAGTTGGATTAAGAAATTTTGGTTTGATCACCGGAAGAATGGTAAAATGCTGCAAGCGAGGGATGTTATAATAAATAATTTTTGTCCAGAGGTAATAAAATATTTGAAGATTGTAATTTTTTATCTTCTATATATATAAAAATAAGTCGGGTTTTCCTTCCTGACGATTTAACTCCAGAACGCACGAACCGATTTCGACAATTTTGCATTCGTTGAAAAGGTCTCGGGCTCCGCAAGGTTTATAGCTAAGAAAATTAGTGGTGCATGGCATCGTGCCCTAATGCAAATTGCTGGAATTTCACGCACAGTAATTAAAATTTCGAGTAATGACATTAGTGAGAATTATCAGAATTATGCTTGGTTAAGTCAACGAGCAATTCTTGCCGCAAATAATAATGATGTACACGCACTGAATTTCACCATTCAATCAAAAATTGCTGGCGATTTGGTGACATACCAATGATTCCGACTGGTTTTCCGTTTGACTTCAAACAATTGCAATTTCCATTTCGCCTTGCGTTCGCAATAACAAGTCGCAAGGCCAATCGCTTAGTGTTTGCGAGATGAATTTCAAATAGATTATTTAGAAAATCATTGTTTTTTGCATTAGCAGTTATACGTTGCCTGTTCACGAGTTGGAAAACCATCCGCTTTGTTTGTGTTAATGTCGGACCAAAAAACAAAAAATGTGGTTTACCAAAGAGCACTTCAATGAGACGGATAATTGGCGGATTCACTTTCATTTACTTAGAGAAGTTCAACTAAAAAACACTTCTTTTTTGTAATCGAAATAAATTCATTACTGTTGTATAATAAAATCAAATTTTTCCTTTTTAAAATATAAAACAAACAAAAAATTTCTTCATCTTTCTCACGAAACCATCTGGTGGCGAAACGGAGTTTGTCGGGTTTGCTAGTTTATATATATATATATATAATATATATATATATATATATATATAGATATATATATATATATATTGTTTTTATTTTAGCTATACGGCATGTATTTAATAAAACTGGCAGTCGCTCTTACATAATAGGAGGCACATCAAATTCAAATAACTCGAAGCAGCTCAACACAAAATATACTCCGAATGATGATGAACCTGTAAGGTGCTCCCAATTTTTGTCTACGCAGAGAACTCCTTCTCAGGAGGATAAAGGTAGTGATGTTTCAGTACGTGGACAGTCACATTTATTACTCGTTGGAGACCCTGGTACTGGAAAGTCTGAATTGTTGAAGTTTGCACAGAAATTAGTGACGAGGTAAGAATAATTTGATCAATGAGATAAATATAATAATGTGTTATTGTAATAATTAACTTCCCGAAGGAGAAGTTTATGTTTTCATCAAAAAATCCGATTCGCTAATTTTATGTTTTCTCGACGTTTCAAGCCATTCTGAATCGAATGAGACCAACATTTGGATAAAGTATGTGTGCGTGTGTGAAACAGATTTTTTTGCCGTAAATCGCCGTTTTCTCAAAAACGGCTGGACCGATTTCAAAAATTTAAAAGCCATTTGATGTATCTCGATGAGGACTATCGTTTCTGAGTTTTGTGCGGCGATCGGCCGGGCCGTTTCTTTGTAAATTGAAGAAAAGTGAAAAAAATTTCGTCCACGTTTTAGCCCGCAATTCTGAATCGATTTTGAAAATTCAAAAACCGTTCGATAGATATTGATTGGGAATCGTGCTGATTAGTTTTTGGTAAAGATCTGCCAAGCCGTTTTCTTGTAATAACGTTTTTTAAAAAAAAATTTCGACGATTTTTATGATTATTTTTTTGACGATAGATACCAAAGTCTTCTAGATCATACTAAAATATTACGGCCCTACGATAACTGGTTCAGCTTTAAAAATTCGTCAAAGTTTGCAAAAATTGGTATCGTTTTTTTGGCATTTGTCAAAACTAGACCTTTGATCGACGTTTTCTCAAAAACTCCTGAACCGATTTTAGAAATTTAAAAGCCATTTGATGTATTTCGGCGAGGACTATCATTTGTCAGTTTTGTGTGACGATCTGCCAAGCCGTGTTGAACTTTTCGTCCACATTTAAGCTCATCCTACCGAACCGATTTAAAAAAACAAAAACTGTTGGATAGATATTGGTTGGGAATGATACTGATTAGTTTTAGGTGAAAATCTACCAAACAGTTTTCTTATAATTAACTGTTGAAAAAAAAATTTAAGCCGATTTTTATGGATTTCTTTTTAGCGATATATACCATGGCCTTATAGAACTTACTGAAATATTACGGCCTTACGACAAATAATTTGATTCTAAAACTTCATCAAAATTTGAGAAAATGAGTAGTTCTTTTGACATTTTCAATTATGTATATTATGTGTAATAAATCCACTCGGAATACTTTCTAATCATTCATAAATTAATTTATACTTTATTGATTAAGTCGATTATTTAAACATATCGGGAAGTTCATGTAACTTGCCTCAAGGCTAAATACCAAACCAACTAGTTTTAATTTACATTTCAGGTCTGTGCTAACAACAGGAATCGGTTCAACATCTGCCGGTTTAACAGTAGCTGCTGTACGGGTAATTAAAATTCATTATTGAAATTAATATTTCATCATATAATTTTTACTTACCCTTTTACTTACCTTTTTATATTTGATCTTTTTCTTTATAGGAGTCCAGTGAATGGACCCTTGAAGCTGGTGCCCTAGTACTTTGTGATGGTGGAGTATGCTTCATAGACGAATTCACCTCGATGAAGGAGCAAGATAGAGCCTCGATACACGAAGCAATGGAGCAGCAGACAATCAGTGTCGCTAAGGCTGGTATGGTGTGCAAATTGAGCACGAGGTGTTCAGTTATAGCTGCAGCCAATCCGAAGAAAAGATACAATCAGATCGATAGTATTAGTGCCAATATTGGAATTGCACCACCTTTACTTAGCAGGTAAATAAAAAACTAGTTGGTTTGGTATTTAGCCTTGAGGCAAGTTACATGAACTTCCCGATATGTTTAAATAATCGACTTAATCAATAAAAAATAAATTAATTTATGAGTTATTAAAAGTTTTCCGAGTGGATTTATTACACATAATTGAAAACGAACGAACACTTTCACTCGGAGTATTTTCTAAAAGCAAATTTTCAAAAATCAATAATTTTTATAATTGAACCAGTTTCCAGGACTTTAACGGTTTATTATGTTCATTAAGACCAAGTACTCTATCATTATAACAAGTAAATATTCTAATTTTAATTTTAACAAACCTAAAAAGAGCTACTCATTTTCTCAAACTTTGATGAATTTTTAAAATCAAAATATTCGTCGTAAGGCCGTAATATTTCAGTAAGTTCTATAAGACCATGGTATATATCGCTAAAAAAAAAATTCATAAAAATCGGCTTAAATTTTTTTTTCAACAGTTAATTACAAGAAAACGGCTCGGTAGATTTTCACCTAAAACTGATCAGTATCATTCCCAACTAATATCTTTCGAACAGTTTTTGATTTTTTAAAATCGGTTCGGTAGGATGAGCTTAAATGTGGACGAAAAGTTTAACACTTTTTTTCAAATTACAAAGAAACGGCTTGGCAGATCGTTGCACAAAACCGACAAACGATAGTCCTCACTGAGATAAATCAAATGGCTTTAAATTTCTGAAATCGGTTCAGGCGTTTTTGAGAAAACTTCGATCAAAAGTCTAATTTTGTCAAATGTCAAAAAAACGATACCAATTTTTGCAAACTTTGACGAATTTTCAAAGTTAAACGAGTTGTCGTAAGGCCTTAATAGTATCATCTAGAAGACTATGGTATCTACCGTCAAAAAAAAATCATAACTAGTGGGGTGGGTGGCATCGTGCCTTAAGGCAAATTGCTGGAACTTCCCGTACCGTAACGAAATGTTCGAGGAATATTGAATGTTTTCAAATAGATTATTATTAATATTGTAACATTGTCTAATATTTATAAGAATTATATAAACTGAATTGCAGAGTTGAAATTATTTGTTTAAAGTATATTAGAACTTTAGTCAGAATTAAAAATAAAATCTGAATTATTTTCGATATACAAAAAATTAAAAAAAGAAAAAAAAAATGTTGAAACAAAATTATTTTTCCAAAATCAACTATTTTGGTAAGACAAGCAGAAAGTTCTTTGAATCAATTGAATCGGACGCTTAGTTCTCTCAAAAACTGCCATTTTTTATACATTTAGCTCTGTATCTCCGAAATGGCTGGGCCTGCCTTTGCGAAAAGCTAATAACCCCTTCTCCCAACCATTACTAATTGAATGTTTTTTAGATCATTCAAATCGGATGCTCCGTTCTCTCAAAAACTCGATTTCTATTTTTTGCACTCTTTGCTCCTTATCTCCGTAACTGCTGGAGCCTTTGCCAAAAACTAATCAGCACATCTCCTTATCAATAGGAATCTAATGTTTTTTAAACCATTCAAATCGGTTGATCCGTACGCACGAAAACGTGGGCGAAAATTTGTATCTATACATACATACACACACACATCAATTTTTTCTGAAGTATGCCAAATGTTCTACCCTACGGGAAGTTAAAATCGTCGAAATTTTTTTTTAAAAAACTTTATTACAAGAAAACGGCCCGGCCGATCTCTACCAAAAACTAATCAGCACGATTCCCAACCAATATCTATCGAATGGTTTTTGAATTTTCAGAATCGATTCAGAATTGTGGGCTAAAACGTGGACGAAAATTTTTCACTTTTCTGCTATTTACAAAGAAAACGGCTTGGCCGATCGCCGCACAAAACTCAGAAACGATAGTCCTCATCGAGATACATCGAATTTTTGAAATCGGTCCAGCCGTTTTTGAGAAAACGGCGATTTACGGCAAAAAATCTGTTCACACACACACACACATACACACGCGCACACACACACATACTTTTTCCAAATTTGGTCTCATTCGATTCAGAATGGCTTGAAACGTCGAGAAAACATAAAATTAGCGAATCGGATTTTTTGATGAAAACATAAACTTCTTCTTCGGGAAGTTAATAAAAATAATCTGTCTTACTTAAGAAGCAGAATAAGTTTAATTATCTTTTCCTTTCAGATTTGATTTAATTTTTATTCTAAAAGATCTGCACGACGAAAAGTGGGATAGTTTAGTAGCCGATCATATTCTTTTTGGAGAGAAAAGTGATTTTGAGACTTCGGTGATTGACAGTGAAAAATGGACAGTCAAAATGTTTAAATCGTACTTTGAATTCATACAAAATATAAATCCTGTGATGACTGAGGAAGCCGAACTGATTTTATCGGCTTATTATCAGTACAAAAGGATGAGCCAGTATCGGGATGCATCCAGGACTACGGTGAGATTGCTGGACAGTCTTATAAGGTAGGAAAATATTTTAATTATTGGTGATGGGGGAATAAATTTATACACCTAAGTCTGTTTTTACACGGTAGATTGGTTCCAGAAGAAGCCGTGTAAAAAAAGACATTGATCTTATACAAAAATTGTTCCTAATCTCTAAAAACTATTAAAATTAGTGAAAAACAAGAATTTTTAGGGTATTCCCCTAAATTAGTGCTGTTCACATTTGCTTTGACCAGTAAAAATTGTTTGTACGCGCTAAAAGGGAATTCACTTAAATCTTTATATATGATACTATCGATGGTTTCAGACTTTTCTTTCATAAATACTTTTTTGTGATATGAACATACTTCGCAAAAATTAAATTTGACACAAAAAAATTTAAGTACATAAAATTTCAAATCGTGCTAAATGGAATAAAATCGTGTAAAAAAATTAAAAATATTCAATTTTCAAACCGTGTTATATCAAAACCGTGTACAAAAAGACCATGTAAAAACAGACTTAGGTGTAATTTATCAGATTTTGTTTGACGGATTTGATTAAATTTAATCTAAAATTATTGTGCAACTGTGATACGAATGATGTTTTTTAAAAAACAAAAAAATAACTGAAGCTTGTTACGTAATATGCAAATGTAGGATTTATGACAATCGTTGAATTTGTTCAAAATAAACATATTAAATTATAATGATAAAGTAAATTGACAGAAAAAGATCTGCATTTTTTACATTACTCTTTTATCCGTATTTCTATAATTTTTGTGATATGAAAAGAAAGAACAGAATTTTTTGTAAAAATTCAAAATATGTTTGGGTTCTTAAGGGGGTATTCTAGTGTAGAGCGATAAATTATATTATAGGTCATTTTAAAGTGTCATAAAAGAAAGCAATGAATGTTTTACTGTCCATTTTTTTACCACTTGTTTATTAATATTATTAAAATACCAAACAAAAATTAAAAAATAAAAAGTTGAAAATTGTAAAAACTGGCAGCTGATAAAGTGGGTAGTCTCAAAAAATTGGCACCTCAGTCTTGACATGATTTCAGCCCTCCTAGCCATCGGAAATGCAAAAATTAAACAGATTATTAATCTACAATGATGTCGCAATTGCCTGAACTAGCGATGAGTAAAAAGATTTTTTTTAAAAAATTGGCGACTGTTTGAAAAAAAAGTGTTTTTTTTTACTGTTTTATTGAGTTTCTCGAATTTTTTAAAAATAGTAAAAATTGGAAATTGGGTTTGATGTTAATTCGGGCTACAAATAGGTCTATAAACAAGACTCTCTGAACATATCAAGTGAATCGGTCGAGTAGAACTCGAGAAATCGTGTCAACAGTACTGAAAAAGTCTGTTCTGAGAAAAACGCATTTAAAGTTTTGTGTGAAGCCAAATCAGTATGGAGACCGAATCAGTAAAATGCCTATATCTCCGAAAATAATTCAAATTTTCAAAAACCTTCTCGTTCCCATATTTTATAGATAGTTAAACTTTGAAAATATGAAACAAAAAAGTCGATTTTTTTTGAATTCTACACTAGAATACCCCCTTAAACACATGATTTATTTAAAAAAATGTGTTTTTTTTTTTAAAGAAGACACGTTAATAGATTCCATTTAAACTCTTTAATATTTAAATTAATTCTGGACGAAATATGATTAATATTAATTTTGATGGAAATGGCTCTTATGAATCCCATTTGAATATTTAAAAAAAGTTTATATATTTATTTTGAACCACACATGAAATTTTTATAATGTAAATATTTAATTATTTATAAAAACTATAATATCAATATCAATAACTAATAAGAATTATTACATAAATAAGGTAAAACACTCGAAAACTACGAAGTCCTTCTATAAATATAACATACATATTGAACAATTTAAAAAAAAACATCTGAAATGTTTTTGATTTTTAATAATATTAATAAACAAAAAATTAACTAGTGGGGTGGCATCATGCCTTAAGGCAAATTACTGCAACTTTCCGTACTGTAATTTAAAATTTCTAAAAGCTTTGAAAAGAACAAATTGTTTTTTTGATACTTTGATTTTTTTTTTTAACATTTTTGAAAATCTACTAATTATTTGAGTATCGAAAATCTTACCTTTTTGAAAATACTGATTTTTGTTGAAAACGTGGAAATTTTTTGATTTTTAACTCCCGTATGGTAAGTTATATAGTAATCTCAAAAAATCGAAAATGAAAATTTTTACATATCTGTACGTTTCAAAGGTTTCTGAACATTTTGGCATACCTTAGAAAAAATGGATAGTGTGTGGGATACATTTTTTTGTCGACGATTTCGGGCGCATGGATCAACCGATTTGAATTATTCAAAAAACATTTGATTTGTATTAATGGGGAGACCTGCTTATTAGTTTTTGGCAAAGTCAGGTCCAGCAGTTTCGGAGATAAAGAGCAAAGAATGCAGAAAATACAAATCGAGTTTTTAGCACAGTATAAGTGAAAATGTTGCACAGAATCATTTGCAAATGCGTTTAGACTGTGACTATACGGGACCATTTTTTCAATTTTGTGTAAATTAAGGCAACTATTTTTTTTACATTCAATTCGAAATGAAATGACGATTGTTAATGTTCTGGAGATAAATTGATTTATGATTTACATTTGATTTGCTCAAATATAACAAAAGATAGCAAAAACTAGCTGTAAGTGGAATTTTGTCTTGAGGCAATTATGGCATCGTGCCTTAAGGCAAATTGCTGGAACTTCCAGTAACGTGACGAAATGTTCAAGGAATACTGAATGTTTTCAAATAGATTATTATAAATATTGTAACATTGTCTAATATTTATAAGAATTATATAAACTGAATTGCAAAGTTGAAATTATTTGTTTAAAGTATATTAGAACTATAGTCAGAATTAAAATAAAATCTGAAATATTTTCGAATACAAAAAACTAAAAAAAAAAAAAAAAATGGAACAAAATTTTTTTTCCAAAATCATTATTTGTTAAGACAAGCAGAAAGTTTTTTGAATGATTCAAATCGGACGCTTAGTTCTCTCAAAAACTGCCATTTTTTACATATTAGCTCCGTATCTTTCAAAATGACTGGGCCTGCCTTTGCCAAAAACTAATAAACACTTCTCCCAATCATTACTAATTGAATGTTTTTTAGATCATTCAAATCGGATACTCCGTTCTCTCAAAAATTTGATTTCTATTTCTGCACTTGTTGCTCCGTATCTCCGAAACGGCTGGACCTGCCTTCGCCAAAAACTAATCAGCTCTTTTCCCTATCAATAGGAATCGAATGTTTTTTGAACCATTCAAATCGGTTGATCCGTGCGCCCTAAAACGTGACTGGAAATTTGTATCCACACATACACACACACACACACACATCCATTTTTTCTGAGGTATGCCAAAACGTTCAGAAACCTTCAAAACGTCGAGAAATGTAAAAAATTTCAATTCCGATTTTCGGCCCATTACAATAACTTACCCTACGGGAAGTTAATAATGAAAGTTACAGTATTTGTAAGAATTTATTTGAAAACTTTTAAAATTTATCGAATATTTCATTACGATAGGGAAGTTCCAGCAATTTGTCTTAAGGCACGACGCCATGCACAACTAGCTTTTTTTTAATTTTGAATTATTTTCTATTATTCACATTTATGTCGGTTAATTCATACCGTTAAAAATATCTGATTTCGAACCATCTAATGACATTTTTTTAAAACTTATTTGAATTAAAAAAAATTGACAAAATCGAAGGTGTTTCTGAGGAGTTTCTACGAAAAATTTGACTGTTTTGACTATGCTAATTACTTGCTTAAAAGTTTAACCAACACAACTCTCAATATTGTAAAACAACAATAGTACTTACAATTAGTTGCCAACCCAATATCCTCCTCTAACCCAATTATTATGATCCCAAAAGGTTGTCACAAGCCCACGCTCGTCTCATGTTCAAGAAACACGTTGAGGCAGTCGATGCCATCACCACAATCATTCTGATGGAATACTCTATGCAATCGGACAACTCGAGTGGACATATTTCCATGGTCGATTTGCAGGATCCTATTAAAGCCAAAAGAATCGAGGACTACGAGAGGCTGCATCGACAGATTTTGGGCAAACTCGATCTGGAGGATTTGGTAAAGGGGAGGATGAATCTTGTGATAGTAATAATAGGAGTAAATCTAAGGATGAGGCATATATTATAAAAGAACTACTTAATCGTAACCAGACGAGTCTTGATAAAAGCATCAGTAAGACTTCTATGGTCAACCAAAAGGATTGTAGTTTGGTAAAAGATAGAATCCAGGACGAGGATGAATTTTTTGGAGGAAGTGGTGAAAATAATATATTGTCTTTGCAAATGCTTTGCAAATCTAGGTTTGAATCTAAGGTTGAGGAGGATGTGGTTGGGCTAAGCAACAAACCTAATTTTATAAAAGAACTTTTGAATCGTAGCCAGACAAGTTTTAATAAAAACAGTAATAGTAGTATGGTCGACCATTTAGATAGTTCTACACAATATTCTGGTGAATCTATCAATAAATCCAGAGATAATAATGAAACTGCCAAAAGTTTAAATGATAAGCCTAATTTTATAAAAGAACGTTTGAATCCTAGCCAGAAAAGTCTTGATAAAAGCAGTAATAGTTCTTTGGTCAACCATTTAAATGTTTCTACACATCATTCTGGTGAATCTGCCAATAAATCTAGAGATAATAATGGAATTGCCAAAAGCTTAAATGATAAGCCTAATTTTATAAAAGAAATTCTCAGTCGTAGCCAAATGAATTTTGATAAAAGCAATTCTTTGGTAAACAATTTAGATGGTTCTACACAGTCTTCTATCAATAAATCTAAAGATAATTATAGAATTACCAAAAATGTGTCTATCACAGATGTTAGTTCAAATAATGAGCTAATTTTATAAAAGAAATGCTTAATCGTAATGACAATTTAGCAATGGATGATCCTGGAGCCGATAAAGAGGATTTGGTTAAAAATATTGGTCAAAGCAAGACGACCAATTTTATTGAAGACCAGGATAAACTGATGATTCTAAAATTAATGCCTTAAGCAATATTGATCAAGCCAAATCTTTAAGAAATAAATCTGAAGATACCAAAGGAGTTACTGAAGATATTTTGACAGTATGAGTCTTAGTCTTATAAAAGAAACCCCAAATAAAACTTCTGAGGATCCCATTGCATTAAAAAGTAAGAATGATTCAATTTCAACTTCATCTTTAGATGATTTGTCAAGTAAATCTAACTCTAATTCCGATGATTTTTTGGCAAAATTGCGCAAGAATTTCTCCAAAAGTCCAAAAAAGTCCAATAACAATACAAAATCTGGCAACAAACACCAGGGATATTGTTTCAACAAAGTTTGCAATCGATGACAGTATCAATATTGATATATTTGATGAAGATGATGATTCTGGTAGTTTTTTAAACAAATTTAGTAATATCAAAAGGTGGGAAGTGACAATATTGCTAAAGGCACTAAAAATACTGCTGCTGAAAATAAAGAGTTGGATGCTAAATTAACAAATTCAGAAAATATTTGTCATAATGTTGAAGACGTTGATGCACCAGGTTCTGCAAAAATTGAAGATGGATTTTGATCAAATTGGTGACTTGAACACCAATTTAATTGACTCTTTGAAAAATAACAAATCTAAAAATACTGTGAAACCATGTTCCAGCAAATTATCACTTACCAACCAACTTGAATTTGGAACCAGTTCAGATTTGGATAACTTGGAACCAGAAATCAGCAAAAAATCCAAAGCCAAGGCAAATCGCAGTTTTACTAACTTTATAGATAATTCGACTTCTAAAAAGGTGGAGAGTGACAATATTGTTAAAAGTTCTGTTGTAAATAAAAATTTGGATGCTAAATTGACGAATTCAGAAAATATTTGTAAAGACCAAAAGCAAAATGATGAAGACCTTGATGTACCAGGTTCTGCAAAAAAATGAAGATGGATTTGGAACAAATTGGTGACACCAAAAAATCGAAAAGCAATATACAACTAAGTTCCAGCAAATTATTGTTTACCAACCAGCCTGATTTTGGAACCAGTTTAGATTTGGATAATTTGGAACCAGAAATCAGCAAAAAATCTAA